TCCGCGCAAAAATCCGCCTATACCCGCCAGGCTGGATGCCCCAGGCCTTGCCCTGCTGGATTCGCAGTCAGGCCCTCACGCCGCGTGTCTCTTCACCACAAGACTAGTCTCCCCTGAGCTGTCCCTTAGCTCGCCGCTTTACCGCGTCTTGCCCCTCCGCCGGCTCCGCCTTCCTCTACCCTTGACTTCTGCCCGCTGCTGCTGGCAACTGCATGACCGTTTCGGGGACCACCTCGCTGCATGTCCTCGGTCAGGCGCCCTCCGTGCCAGGGGTGGGCCTCTCGAGCGTGCGGCCGCCCGCGTTTGCCGGGAAGCCGGAGCCACGGTTGCCCTCAACGTCCGGCTTCGGGATCTCAACGTTGATGTCGCCCGGCAAGAAGAGCGCCGCATCGAAGTCATTGCTAACGGACTTGCACTTCTTGGGGTGGCGCGCAACTTGCACGCGACACTACCCTGGTGTCCCCCTTGACTTCTGCTGGAGCCCCCCGCAGGGCTGCCGGTCGCACAGCTGGCGCAGCGCTAGCTCAAGCACGCAAAGCCAAGGAACGCACCTACCCTGAGCTCCGACAGTGTGCCCGATGCAAACTCGTCGTGCTGGCCCTTGAGCTCGGTGGCCGATGGAGCACTGAAGCTGCCACCTTTGTCAAGCTTCTTGCACGCCTCCGTGCGCGAGCCGCGCCTGCCTCCTCTCGTGGCCCCAGCATTTCAGCCTTTGCCTCTCGCTGGTCAGCCTTGCTATCCTTTGCGGCTGAAAAGGGCCTTCGCTGCAAGCCCTGCCCCTCGGTGGCACGGCAAATGTCGACGGCGAATTCCCGCTGCTGAGCGACAGCGGCAGGTTTGGATGCGGCAGGAACGGCCGTCGCCTTAGGTCGCGCGAGTCAACCCGACCTCGGCAACGCCGCGCAAGTGTCGCGACACCTACCCCGTGCGAGCGCGAGCTGCGTGTGCGCACGCTGCCGTGTGGCCGGCTCTGCAAGCAACCTATGCGTCTCGCTGGAGTAGCATCATCGTTGTCGCAGCGCAGCGAGCCCTCGCCAGCTTTTTGCTCGAAGGACGGGCCCCCAGCCGATTCCCGGCGAGGACCCAGGCCCCTGGCACCGCATAGGCTGCAAGGGTACCGTGGACTGCAGTTGCATTGGGCTTGCGCGCGTACAGGCTGTAATACAGTGTCTGTGGCGAAAAAGGTAGCCGACAATTTTTTCACAAAATGCCAGCCCACATTTGACAAAACTTTTCTATGGCATGCAACATGATGCAGCGAACGGGCGGGTGCCTTTACGGCATGGCGCAAAGCAGGCGATCCATGTCAGCCCCCCACTAAAACAGGTGATGCCCAGCCCGGACCACCGGGTACATGTGGTCATGCCGGTTGTATCCGGGTGGACCAGCTTCTCAACGCAGCCATCAGATCCAATGTGGCGGTACCGTTGCTTCACGCTTGCGTTTTTGTTGTCGCAAACAAAGACTGGCCGCTTTCAGTACAACACCGTCGGAACCCCCATCCGCAACGGAGCAGGCCTTGTGTGTCCCACGGTGCTGCCGCGTCGTGCTCGTCATCGAGTTTGCATCCAGTTCGTGTGGTTGCTCCTGCTGTTTGGCACCATCCGCACTTCCCCATTGAAACGGCGTGTCAGCAGCCAGCTTCGCAGTCGCTGCTGTCGCTGCCCCTCCCCAGCACTGCCAACGTTGATGGCCCCCTCCCTGCGATGTGCTCGTTGAGCACCACCTTGACACTCCGCCGCTTGCCAGTCGTTCACATCCCCACTGCATTTCAGCACCCCTACATCCATCGCACCTGTGTGCCCAGCACCCCTATAGGCCGGTAAATGCACAAAGCCGTGCAGCGGACACTCGTTTTCCGTCCGCAGACGCGGATATTGCTGTAGCTGTACTGTTCATCGTGCTCTGTTTGTGTGTGCGTGTGCGGGTGTGAGTGTGTCGTATGAGTCGATGGCTTGCAGAGTGGACACCTTGTGGCATGAATGCTTGCAATTGTCCAGGTTCTGGTGCGACGTGGAGAACAGGCGCATTCCAGCAAGGCGCCAGTTTCGCAGTTTCGTTTTCCACAGGTGACACAAGTGTTGTGTTGCATGGCTTGTGCCACATCAGCAACAAGCTCGTGCTGTGACATGCAGTTCGTTTGCACAGCTTGTGCTTCGCTTGCAGCAATCACGCTGGTTCAAGCTGAGCTTTCCAGCTTGTTGCAGAAGCTATACCGAAGCATCACCACGAGGCTCGGGTCTGTTCATCGGCGTTGATGCCATGTCATGCTCCAAAAGGTGAAACAGTGGGTGGATCTTTTGACATGTTGTGCACAATGTCCTTTTACCGTGTTAAGTGTTTGCTGTGCAGGTTGGTGGTGCGAGCATTTTCCCGACGGGACGCCAATCAAGCATGGACGTGGATCAGCCGTTTGTTGTGTTGAGATCTCAGCCTGGCATCAAGGATGTGGCGTCACAGGCCCCTCGAGAACCGGCGCGCATGAGCGCCCAACACAGAAGCCAAGAAGGGGACTCGTCCAACAATCGCAAATGGTCAGCTTTGGCGTGTGCTGCGGTATGTGGTGCTGCGAGCGTCCGACGCACAAAGCGCACGCAGAAGCGGCCAGTTGTCAGCCGCCAGGTTTACAAAGTTGAGATAGATGTCCCGGATCCAAAAGAAGTCGAAAAAGAGATTGAAACAATTGCAGGGCCCACAATTGCAAAAGACTTGCAACAAATCGGTCGTGCTGCTTCCGAGATGTTGCACTCGGCAGAGAAAGCACTCCCCAAAGTGACGCTTCCGTCGCTTCCCAAAGTGACGTTTCCAGCAGTTCCTCCAGAGCTGACAGCGGCAGCAAAGCAGTTGGCCGCGAAAGTGGAGGCGGCTGTGGGCCCCAATCTGACAGACCTCAGCAAGCTAGCCGCCACCCACCTGCCTCCGGACATCGCCAAGGTCTTGCTGCATCCGCAGGTGCGGAGCAGAAACGATTTTGTGATTGGGTCTTTTTTTCTCATGCAACAAAAAGCACCAGAGAGAGAGCACATGGGAGGAGGCCAAAGCTGAGACCTCACTGGCCCTGAGGTGCTGGAGCCGGCCATGATGCCAGCGGGCGTGGGCGCTTTTGTGGTGTGGCTCCTGGCTTTGCGCAGGGGCCCACAGCCCTGGTTGGAGGACGTCGGAGTTTGGGAGGTATGGGTCCTGGGCGTCGACAGTTATGATATGTGATGAGGTTTATGCCGTGCATTTCACCTCGTGAGGTTTTTGTAGAGCAGCCGGTGGCAGGAGTTGCCTCGCGAGTACGACTATGGCCGGATCACTGCCTACTGGCAGCGCAGGTGGGCAAAAAGAGGCCGGGTAGTTGTCGCCGAGATTGAGCCCCTGATAAGCTGAGGCCTTTCAAGCTCCTCACCCGCTTCGTAGAGGCTGGCATCAGGGTCGGGGGGTTCCTGTTCGCCCTGAAGACCGACGAGTGGACCGGCGCAGAAGACAAAATGCGGCCGCAAAGGGCCATCGAAGCCAGGGAGTTGATCACCGATCTCGGGGTGACCTTCATCAAGATCGCACAGGTTTGGGCGTCGCGCCCGGACATTCTGCCCAAGGAGTCACTGGGCCGCAGTTGGCGAGAGGGAGCGACCGATGACTGGGCGTTTTGCGGTGCACGTGGACGTGGGCGGTCTTCTTCGGCTTAGTAGTGTGATGCACCTCATGCGAAGCTAATGCTTTCCACGGAGTGTCAAGACTTGTAAGTTCCTGCCTTTGTGGCTTCAGGTACTTGAAGGAGTACGAGAAGCTGTTGGAGCAGGCAGGGTCTTCGCTTGCAAGTTCCACGTGGTGAGACTTCGGGTAGGATGCTACTCTGCTACTCGTTGTCAGCGTGTTCCAATGAAAGGTAGTTGTGCGCAGACTCGCTGCCACAGCAACCTCAGTGTTGGTAAACTCGCAGCGAATCTCCAGTGGTGAATGGTGGCCACGGGGCATTGGCACAGCTGCTTGCGAGCTGTACGCTTGCCATTGCGGCTTTCGCAAAGAAAAACGAAATCGGCCATCGCTGTAAACACTGCGAAGCCGAGAGCCCATCCGAACCGCTACGCCGCTACAGTCCGCTGCAGTAGCCTCGCAGTACGACATCAAGCGTGGATAAGGTTCGAATCTCTCTGAGCTCCCGGCCAGGTTCGGCCCTTCGGCCGTGACCTCGCGCTGGAGACCTTGCGAAGGAGGGTGGATGGCAGCAAGGCGGCCATCGACTTGCGCCCCGGACGGAATGAGGAAGCATAGATGAGACATGATGGGACCGGTACATATCAACAATTGCTGTATTGTGTGGATGGTCCGCTGGTTGGTACGGGGTTCACGTCTTGTGTGTCAGGTTCTTGAAGGGTTGAGGTATGTCGTGTTTACCGGAGAAGCTGGGAGGATGTCTACGTACTTGAGAGCAGAAGGTTTGACGACCTCAGTGTCTTCGAGAAGCCCATCGCCTCAGCATCGGTGGGCCAGGCGGCTCGGTGCAACTTGGGGCATGGGGGATGTATTGGGTATGGGGACTAGGGTTTAGGGTGGGTGGGTGGGGGGGTGGGTGGGTGCATGGCATGTGCTTTTGCTTACCGCCTCCCTTCTTTGTGCAAGGAATCGTTTGGGACTCGAGGTTCAAGGTAGTGTCAGCGGCCACCGAAAAGAGAAATTCGTCAGCGCACGGTTGAGGCTGTGATTAACTCTGTAAGGGGCCACCTTGGACGACCACAAGGGCCCAGATTGATGGTGACTTGATCAGATCCCGGCAGATCCCTCTTTGCCTCGTCCCTAAACCCTAAACCCTGAAGCCTGAAACCCCGGAAAGGTCTACAAGGCCGAGCTCTACGGGAAGACGGTGGCGGTGAAAGTTCAGCGCCCGGATGTGCGGGACCAGTCCACTCTGGTGCCTGGCATGAAGCCCTTGCTCTGGTGTGGATTGAATTCTTGGATTCCGGGTTTCCTTTCATGTTTCGTCGATGGCTCTATCTAGCTATTCTGTTCTAATTTAGTCCAATCCAGTTTATCCTGCCTCGAAATCCATGTTTAAGTTTAAGTTACATGTATCCATCTACTAGACATACATGCCTGCATGCATGCATCCACCCACGCAGGCATGCATACCTGCTTGAAGTCACACATGCGCATAGGCGTGTATGCATGCACATGCATGCATGCACAGTAGTCTTTTTACTGTTTATGTAAGGCATGTAGAAAGTAAGACACGTGTAAAGATATCATGATGTGCATATACACGCATAAGATGTAGATTTGGACATCTATCTTTTGAGCTCAGGACCTGTACGTCATCCGCACGGCGGGCTCGATCGGTTCCCTGCTGCCCTGGCCCTTCCTGCCGCTCTGCTTACCGACGTCGTCGGACTTCTCAAGAGCTCTGCACGCTGCATGACAGCTGGGGGTATTGCACCTGGTGATGGCTGTAGTACAGACCGGTGCCCAGACTTATCCTTTTCAGCGGACTGAAGTCAAATCCAGGCGTAATCCGACTCACCATCACGGGAGGAAATGCGATAGAGTCATAGCTACGTAAGCTGCCGCGGAAGGAGTGTTGCCCTGGCTTATCCTGCCTTTCAGGTCCACTGCCAGGCAGTCGAAGCAGCTCGTCGAGCTCATCGACCTTACTGCGCCCACTTTCATTCAGGAGCTGGACTACGAGGCTGAGTACTCGCTTGGGGCGTGCTCACTTGCAAGTCTGTCTGTGTGCTTGTGTGAGAGGCGTATAGATTGGGTCTGAGTCTATACCTCATGCCCATGAACTGTGCCCGTTCATTGTTTGGATTTGGCGTGTCGGCATAGTTGGGATGAAGCCCTTAAATCTAGTCTTGCTTCAGCATGGTTCAAGCACCGTACATCTGCGAAAGGTCGAGGCGGAAAACCAGCGCCGCTTTGCCAAGACAGTGGAGGATGAATCCGGGCTTGGTGTTGCATCCGGACGCTGTCCTATGCCATCGCTACAGTGCGGCCAGTCGGGGAGAGATCCATGTCGCAGGACTGCGAGCTCATCAAAGATGCCGTGGCAGTGCCGGACATCGTCTTTGCAAACCGTAGCTCGGCTCAAGGTGTCCCTCGTTGGCGAAAGTGATTTGCTCCGATGTAGCACATGCAAGCAGACTTCTTGCGGGGTATAGAAGTGCTTGGCCGAGGTGAGGTACTGGTCCAGGAGATTCCGCCAGCCGTGTCACTGGTTGTGCCAAGTTCAAGTTAGCATGTTAGCATCAGGCATGCTGCAACTACACATGGCCTTAGGGCCCAAGGGATTCTGCCAGGAGTGGCTCGACGGAAAGAAGCTGACGGAGCCTGGTGCAGCCCAGGAGCAGGCTGAGACCGTTGCGGTTTTTTTTATACTTCGATTCCATTCGCAGAGGGCGCTTTTTTTGGCACTGCCTGGCATTGAGCTTCATCGCTGAATTCGCACAGGCATAGCCCCAAAGACTGACTAAATCAGAACGCGTGATGCAACACTGTAAACATCTGAGACCTTCGGACTCTGACGTATTGTGACGGCAAAGAGCCACGCACGCAATCGACGCCTGCCAAGGCTGGCCGTGTGGTCAAGCTTCTTTGGCTTAATCTGGTCATTCTTCTTTTGGCCTTGAGCTGTTTGATTTACATGACTGAGCAAGTAGGTACACTTTAGCCTGTCTTGGGCGTGGTTGCTGGGCTCATGTATAGGTAGGGCCAGGGAAGTGCACCAGGCTGGCGCCGAGGTGGTTTGTTTCACCCCGAAACTTGATGAAACTTCAACGTTCTGTCGCACTGAAGGGCAGGCAGTCTGCATTTCTCTGCCTGACTTTGAGGCTTTTGCTGAACAGCTACATGGTCCAGTTCTTGGAAACTGGGTGCCTTGACTTATTGGTGGCAGCAGCAACAGCAGTGCTTTCGCGCCAGCAAATGCTCCGGCACCATCACCGGCAGCATCTGCAGCATCGGCATCAGCATCATCTACCGTTCTCTTTTCGTCATCGCTTGTGCCTTCCAACCGTATCATGTTTCCAGACGAAGAAAAGTATGGCGTATTACGCTGGCTCCCATATTACATCTACAACATGGTTCTCATCTAGGACGAGCTTTACATTTCGTCATCATGTCCAGCAGCAGCTGCATCATCAGACAAACAGCATCACCAGAAGCATCTTCCCGGTATGTACAATTACCTGAAGTGGTGGTGGTGGTGGTGGTGGTGGTGGTGGTGGTGTGGTGATGTGTGGCGGAGGCAGTGGCAGTAGCAGTAGTCGCAGTATCAGCAGCACCTGCGGTGGTGGCACTGGGAGCAGGAGGAGGAGGAGTAGCAGCACCAGCAGCAGCAGCCGCTGCTGCTGCTGCTGCAATAGCAGTCGTCGTCGGGTGATGATGATGATGATCCTGAGCAGAGGTACCTTCACGGAGACCCTCACCCAGGCAACTTCATCCTCATGGGCGGCCTGGACGGCAAAAAAGGAGCTTCAGAATGCAGCGCGCAGTGGCTCCGAAACGGAGTCTAAGTTGGACCAGTCGGACTCTTAAGGTCTAGACCCCAAAGTAAGTGAGAGAGTCGCAAGTATCCATCATATATCCTTCGAAAGAGTTGCAGGAGCTCCTGGGTCTCTGCCTCACATTCGCGGGCACATCAGGAACCCGGAGCTTCCAAACACTGTAAAGTCGAAGAATTTGGAAAACACGGCCCGTCCTTCGGCCCAGGGGATGGGCGGCTGGGGATCCTTGACTACGGCCCTTGGGTCGCAAGCTTTTGGGAAGAGCGGAGGGGGGTTCTTCCCAGGGTTTCGGCAGTTTCAGGCTATGGAGGTTGACTTTAGGGATTGAAGGCCTTGGACTTGTCGGGTTTCGAGGTGAGGGATTTCAGATCACAGCATGTCCTAGTCTGACCGAGACAAAGTTGTGGCGGCTGGAGATGACCCACGGACGGCAATGCCGTCTTCCACCCTCTCTGCTTCCAGCTAGACTGGACAGAATGCAAGAAGAGATAGATTGCGAGGCCTCATGACCGAGATCAGTGGAGAGAAACGCCTCGCTTTCATCGAGTTCTTGATGCACCTGCCGCGGCCTTTTCAAAAGGGCTTAGGGGTTGGGCGGCGCCAGCCGCGATTCGCTGCAGGGTCTTCGTTTGCAGCTTTTTCCGCGCTGCGATGCGCAATGAATATGTTTGCAGAAGCATGCGAAAGCCACCCTTCCATTTAATCCCTGCTGCACACTTTCATTATCGTGGGTTCCCAGGCAGGCGAAGGAGTACAAGAGCTGTCTCAACGACTTGAGCCTGGGCTTCGTTTTGCAAGCCCTTTGTTGTTTGAACTTGGGGTCGTCTGAGAAGTCTGAGGCCTCAGTATTCGCCGCCCCGCGCTCTATGAACCCATCCGGGAACTCCAAAAGAAAGGGGGTCCCGACACGGTGCGTGAGCCGGGAAAGCCCAGGATCAACCTGGAGTTCTTCCCGCCGGCCAGTTACTGAGCTCCTGCCTTGAAGGCACTCCCAGCCCTCGACTTCGGACCCTGACCCGAACTTGAGTCGCGGTTTTGGGTTACAGTAAAAGTCCTAGAATTCCTAAGGCCCTGGCGGCCGACAAAGAAGCCTTGGACATCATCGTGCCGACCTTGGCCAACACCCTCTCGACGCTCTACGAAGAGGGGGGCGACCTCAAGAAGAAGCGGGAGCCGTGAGAAGGGGAGAGGGGGACCGTGGGGATGGGTACGTTCCGGCAAAATCTGTGCTGATCACAGCCTTTGTGCAGTCTTATGTCGATTCATGGAGCCATCATACTGCCCGAGCACAAGGCAAAACACAGTATGCAGTTGAACATCAACACCGGGGCAATCACAGCCAGCTGTAGTTGCAAAAACCACCAGTCGTTGGGGCATTGTACAGCATAGATTGTACGTGATATAGTGCGTATCACGATCGATGCAGTGAATGATGCAAGCCGCGCTTCGAGATAAACGCGCTGTTGAGTACAATCTCCAGTGACCCGAACTACTCGTTACGAGTACGAGCAGTGGCGGCCACATCCCCAATAGCAATAGCAACAGGAAAGCTAGCAAGAGCACAGGTGCGACCAGAAGTGAACCGACAAAGGACCCGCAATCAAGTCATCGAGAAGTCAACTCCTAAACGCTGACTCGCACCAACAACCGCGCCCGCACCCATGTCCACATCCACGCTTGCACTAGCACCATGAGAACCAGTGTCCACTTCATGACCATCACGCTTGCCTTCGTAATCTTCGTTTTCAGAATCAAGCTATATCTATGGCCAGCAGCAAAAGCTTGCAGAGCCGATAGGAGATGTTCGCGAAGCAGCGCGAAGAGATGAAAGCTGCTGGCAAGTTGGACGGCTTACGGGAGAAGCGCCTTGTTAGCAGGGTATCCATCGACGACTTTGCTTGAAGGTGTTCGTGTAAGGCGTAAAGGTTGAAGCTATGAAAGTAGCGGCAAGAAGCCAACGTGCAGTTCCCTTGGGACAGTCATTTCCGGGACTGTATACAACGTGTTGGAGCTTGCACAACTCTTCTGGCCCTTGCAGAATCTATGTCCATATGGTCAGCGCGAGCGATTCAAAAGCCTCTTGGCCCAGCACCAGGTTGCAGGCCATCAGCAAGAAGTACTCCGGGGCCTTCCGGTTGCCGCCCTACTTCACGCTGATCCTGCGGGCTTTCGGCACCCTGGAAGGCCGGGACAGCCTTGCCGAGGAGTTCTCCAGAAAACAACACACGGTTTCAGAACAATCGAAGTTCTTTGTAAGAAACCGGAAGCAATGGGATGGCGGAGGACGGTCGCGGTTGTGTAGCTGAGAGGTGAAGCCTGTTGCCATCATAACCGTCGATTGTTACCGCAAACCGCACATACATGCGTATTTGCTTGCATCATTTCCTCCGTCCGTCCATCCATCCATCCA